TTGTAGTCCGTTTACCAATCAGTTTACCACTAAAGCCCTGCTCCTACTTGTGTCTAGTGACAGATAATGAAACATGGGGTCCTGGTTAGAAAGGACTGAAGTTACCCTTTAGAGATGTTTTAACTCTTACCTTCGTGGGGCAATTTGCCCAGAGAAGGTAAGAGTTAATGTCTTCCCTAGACATATTGCAACATTGCTAGATAGATTTGCAGATGGAAAGTAAGAATACAACTCCAGTATATGACACTACGGCTTGTTTGCCATTTAAAATGTTGGAAGTGGGTTTGGGTTCATTGAGGGCATCATTTTCTGTGTTTATACATGAGTCATGTTGACTTCAGTTCGCAGTGGAGTGCTTGGGTCGATTTGGAGTAAATGCAGTTTAAAGCAGGCTGTAAACTGTCTTGTGTTGCATATGAACAAGAACAGATAAATCAGAGCAGATAATCTCCACAAAAGAACAGCTATGATAACAACACGTACACACACACTCACTGAAGTGGAAAAGAAGCAGTGTGTTCAGTATGTGTTCAGTAGATTTTGTATGAGTGATAGCTGGAGGAGAGTTAAGCAATGAAAGCGATAACTCATCAAAAATAGCATGGCAAGAGGTGGAAACCAATCAAATGAGTTGCCTTGATTGTTAACCACTAAGGGGCTAACCACATGTGATTTGATCAGTTCACACTGCTGTAGATGATACATGCTGTGGTTTGATTTGAGTTACACAAACTGCTGTGTTCTTTCATTGAGCTGGGACTCAGCAGGCATGAGGTCCAATCACAAACACAAACAATCTGCCACACCAATGCGGTTATATTTGTGCAGGTCCCAGTGACTGAGGGCGAGAAAAAAAGCCTGTTGTGTGCAAGCATCCGGTGTCAAACTGGTGCTCACACGCCTCTCCGACCACGCAACCACAGCACACGAGCGGGGAACACGCAAGCTCAACTCCTAGAACTTGTTCTTCTTACTTCAGAGTGCATTGCATTGCCCTTCATTCCCCTAACCTTAGCAATAGCTTAAAACAAGGAAGCAACTTCTTATCCCCCTTGAGTCATTTTCATTAGAGCTTTCTTTACAATCAGAGGACTCGGACCCTGCTGGTTAGTAGAGAGAACTCAGGTTTAAAGCATTTTATAACATTGGCGCTACTATGCAGATGTTTAGCAAGTATATTGTTCATCGTGTTCACCATCTAAGCTTTGTCTGTTAGCATGCTAACAACTAGAACTAAACACAGAGTACAGCTCGAGTTGATAGGAATATCAATGGTAACATGGTGAAAAGTTAGGGCATTGCCTCAAACTTATTATGATACATCAAACAATAATCACAAATGCTGCAGAAGCAGATAAGTGAAAACTTAAGGGTATCCTGTAATCTTGATTCACCCTCATTGGAGCAACTGATGGCCCGTCCAAACTGCTCCCAGAGAGAGACCTTGATGTCGTCCAAACAATCGGATTGATACAAACTGTTGCTGACAGTATTTACTACTTGATACATCCGGCCCTCTAAAGGTCCGGGAGTGAAAAAACACAACGTCCTTCAACAAGACACAAACACAGCCGTAAATGTACGGTAGATGGAGGTATTCAATGTCTTAGTTTTGTCTTGGTGGACAGCGTAAGGATTTATACTTGGCGGGTAGTTGGATGGACCTTCAAGCAATCAAACTTCTACTGAAGCAAGTCAAGAGAAGCCTTCAGTGTCCCTCTTTGCTCTTATTTCACTGTGTCAACCTGGACTGGCTGACTACCCCCCTCCGTGTACCGAACTGTTTTGGAAGAGGACCTGCTTGTGTATGACCTGGTAAAAGAAGACGACGAGAAGGGCTTGTGAAGTGGTGTTGAGCTTAGGTGTCGTGAAACACTCCTAAGCCATGGCCAGAGCTGCTGAAAACCCTTTACAGGACTCTGGATCTTTGTAATTTCCTGATTGTGAGCCTCCCCGATTCCTTAACAAATGTATTTTAAAACAGCAATTAACCATGAAGTATACTGTAATCTGTGAGTGAGAATAGAAAACCTGTATACTCACTAATTTACAACATGGCAGAATGTGATGGCAGACTTTGGTTGTCACACCTTATTATTTACCACACTCATAAGCTATTATAAACTTTTCCTATCTCATTAAGTGAAGAACTACAAATGTTGTGTGGAAAGTACTAATACAAATATAGATTAGAATTGGTATTCAGTGTAAAACTGAAGTATCAGCTGAATACTATTAATACCTGTGGTGAGAGCAAAGTGAGTGTGCCGTGATCGGTGATCAGGTAACACACATTTCCTCATGAGATCAATCTGTCTTCAACACTCACTCACACACTGACTGTGAAAAATATGTCACTGTGCACGTCACATACTGTAAATGGTAAATGGTAAATGGTCTGTACTTGTATAGCGCTTTTCTAGTCTTCCAACCACTCAAAGCGCTTTAACACTACATGACATCATTCAACCATTCACACCCATTCATACACTGATGACAGGAGAACCATACACAGTGACACCTGCCATCAGTAACTAACATTCATACACTGTAGTCGCAGCTACAGGAGCAATGTTGGGTTAAGCGTCTTGCCCAAGGACACAACGACATGCAGGTTAGCCAGGCCTGGGATCGAACCCACAACCCTCTGATTGGAGGACAACCGTGCTCCCCACTCACCCACAGTCGCCCTACTGTGTACATACTGTACATTGGTAGGATGAGGTGTAGCACTATACCGCTTTTAACCAAAGTGACTTATAATAAGTACTAAGATTCAACAGGAAACGCACGCGCGCACACACACACACACACACACACACACCTACGCACTCTGTGTCCTTGACAGCTTCCGCAGCAAAGACAACCACCGCCGCAGACAACCAATACAGGGTGTTTGTAACAGTTTCTCCCCAGACTCTATCAACCACCGTGGTAATTGTATTAAAGCAGGTCCTCAACGGACTAAAGGTCCTCAACGGTGATTTCCACCATCTGAAGAAACCTCCACTATAGCTCATGTGTTTAATGTTGTGTCACTGTATTAATGAAAAGGTTGGAGGAAACACCACGTGGGAGTTAGCGTTAGCTGCTCTCTAATTCGCCAATCTGCTGCTATACACCCGGGTGGAGGAGTACAGTGTTGTCCGGCCTACATAGTAAAGCAATGACCTTAAGGAGGCTGAAAGCCCCATGTGCTGATCATGACTTCCTGGTTGAGCAACATAGGGGCAGCCAGTGGAGGGAAAATGAGGCAGACGAGTCATTCCCACAGCTGCTGGTTGATGCAGCAGGAAGGAATGCTACATTCCTCACCCTCCTCCCTGTTCTCGTCTTCCCTGTCAGCTGTGAGGCTGCAGGCTCCCACAAACAGGCGTGAGATCTGGAATTCTCTGCTCCGGGATGTTCTCTTATGCTAGCAACACACCTCAGCCTCCAAATGCACGGAGGGAGACATCTCGAAACAATACTGCAGCTCATACCTTTTAAACTTGACAGACAGGCAGCTCTGACCAGAACCTCTCTTTCAGTTCCTACCTTTCACTTAAAAGCCATAGTGTATTTGTGTTGTTTATTCTCTATGCCAAAATACTTCCACTCCCTGGATGAATTGGCCTGTGGCTATTCCATCAGAGCATTGTCTTCTGGACCTGGGTTGGAAAATGAATTAAATCCATGAATTTGTGAATGCCATGGGCCGCTCCACTCCTTATCACAGATGCAAGTTAGAGACAGTGCTCTGACTTGCAAATAGAACTAATAGAAACTATACAAAAGTACTAAATACTGTCAGCAACAGTGTATATCATATTCCGGCACTTCCAACAGCACGTTGGTGTCGTATATACTTCTGCTGCAGACTATTACTGTCTGTCTCATAAACTGTTACTGTTACCTGGTGTCTTTTTTCTATGCTGTATATATTTTCATGTTGTATGTTCAGTCTTGTTTCTCCTCTCTTCCCTCTGAGAATTAAGTGAATCAATAACTGAGCTGTGGGTCGGGCTTGAATCAATTAATCTGTCTTTTTAAATACTTACATACATACAACAGTTCTTTTGCAAAGCAGACGCAATTCAACAAAAACATGAACACAAAGGTTTTCACATTTAAAATCAATGGACGTGCTGATATTAGTGTAGTATTTGTAGCTGTAATTATTTTTGGCATAGAGGCTGAAAAATCCCTTTACGTAAGTCCAACTGGTAATGAAATGGTGAATTAGTACATTTAGTAAAATCACACTTCTTTCTAATAGATCCCATCTGAATGAAGCTTTAAGCTGAACTTACCCCTCAATAAAAACGACTAACCACTGAACTGAACACTGTGCCGTGTGTGTTCCTGTTAAATGGTTCAAATATAGGTCAACAAACTTACACCTATGTTCACTTACAAATATGTAGAATTCCTTCAGAAAGAGGCTAAACAGAAGCTTAAGCTACAAACTGAAGAGTTGCTGCGGTAAAGAAGGCCCATCAAATGAGATACGACTTTAAGATATGAGTATTATAATATAACAGGATCGTTCAGACTGTTTATGGGTTTGATGCACGGACGAGATGAGAGTGACTATTGGTGCGACTGGATCATTCAACGACAAAGACCCCCAGCTTGACTCAGCAAGGTGCAGAAGGAAGAGACTTCCTTTTGGAATAGACTTCTAGTTTCTGGAGGACACCTTCCGTAAGTACTGTTAAAGAAGGGTGTAAGGTTCAAGAGCCCCATGATATTTGTTCGTCTTCTTAAATGTTCTAGCATGTGAAAGCTTATTGCCATAGCACCCCCGTATTGTTCTACCAGCCCACGGATCTCTGCAAAGTTCACAAATAACCCTCTCGAGAAACATTCAAGAAAGTATTTCACAGAGAAACTTCAAAAAGTCAACATTCCACGTGATACACAGGTGAAATTGTTTACATATTATGAACCCATGAAAACCAAGAGGGACCCCAAACAGAGCAGGTTCACATGAAACACAGACATAAAACAACACTTACCTCGTCTGAAAGCTGACTGGTAGGATGAACGTGGCTCAAAGATACTGTTGGAGGCCATGAAACAATTTCTTCCTCTCCACCCTTCTTACAAAAGCTGTATAAGACAACATTTACACAAACACACACAGAATGAAAGGTCAAGAGGACATTCTGCAAAAGCTTCGACATCAACGACATCACAAGGTCATTTCCTCTCTATTCTCTCAGAGAATTGGAAAGTTTTCTGATCTGAAGTCAGTTTATAGGTTGCTAATGAGGTGGGCGGCTGATAGCTCTCCTAGCTGATCATTGCTTTCAGCAAAAAGGGCTGTGGTTCTGCTTCAGAGTGACCTCTGTTTGGCGGCACGGTGGTGTGGTGGTTAGCGCTGTTGCCTCACAGCAATAAGATTCCTAAGTTCGGCCCAGTAGCCTTTCTGTGTGGAGTCTGCATGTTCTCCCTGTGTCTGCGTGGCTTCTCTCTGGGTACTCTGACTTCCTCCCACAGTCCAAAGACATGCTCTGGGGATCAGGTTGATTGGTAACTCTAAATTGCCTGTAGGTGTGTGAATGGTTGTATGTCTCTGGGTTAGCCCTGCGATTGGCGACCAATCCAATCTTCCCTGTCTATTGCCCGAAGTTTTCCCCCCGCAACCTGTGAAGGATAAGAGGTTTGCAGATGAATGGAAGTCTTGGTCGTTTCACCTAGAATCCTTGTCAATCATTTCTGACACTTGAGTAATGACGTTAAATAATTGCGGCAGTGATTTTTAAACACTGCAATACGATAAGCAATCATCATACCAGCTTTTCAACAAAGGTCTTCCTGAGGAGACAGGCTGCTCTGTCTGAAAACTGCCCAACGCATCACCGGTTCCTCACTCCCCACCATTGAGGCTGTCCAGAGCAAGGGATGTCGAAAAGGACAGCTCTCACCCCGGCCACAGACTGTTTGCCCTCCTCCCCTCTGGGAGGCGCTACAGGGTGCTCCGTTCCTGGACCAGCAGGTTCAGGAACAGCTTCATCCCTGCGGCTGTCACTCTGCTGAACTCTGCCCCCCCTGAACTCTGAACTCTGCCCCCGCCCCCACACACATCTCCCTCAGTGACTGTACTCCCCCCTCCACCCTGGCTTGACTGCCACACCCTCCTCCAGCCACCGAACATTTGCACTGTTATTGTATATCCATTTCTTACTGTTCATATTGCATAACTATTTCTTACTGTACACATCTATTTATTCACTTATTACACTTTACATATGCACATACTCTGCACTTTTTGCTATTTTGCACTTCTGGTTGGATGTTAAACAGCATTCCGTTGCCTCAGTACTTGTACCCTGTGCAATCACAATAAAGTTGAATCTAATCTAATCTAATCTGATGTGGTCTTTGAAGACAGATTTACATAGAAGCCAAACGATGGAATTACATTACTTTTGGGTTCTCTACGAGATGCTAGAAGACCCTAACCCTGAAGATCAACTTCCCAGTTCAAACACTTGAATAGACCCTATTTATATTGACAGGTCCCAAAAGTTCCATCCAGAGTTATTGTCCTTCCTCCATTGAATGTGAACGAGAGTGGAGCGAGGGTTGTGATGTGATAAGGATAATTATGGTCCCTTTATACCAGGAGAGTCAAACCTTTTTGATTTCATGTGCTACTGAGCAAATTTTCATAGGAAAGACCAGGACGCCACATTTAATGAACGTAGCTAGGTAGCTAGCTTGCCATGTAGGAAGATAATAGTAGCCGAACATGGACTGAGGAAAAGGCAGTATCACTTAGTATCAAAAGTGCAGGCAGGTAAAGGTGACATACGTGCAGGTACAGTTAACATGAATTGAGCTGGAGGACTGATGGGAGAGTAGGGACAAGTGAGCAGGTGGCAGGGGAGGGTCAGGTGACCGCAAGGCTGATTAGAGAAGAGGGAACAGGTGGTTAAATGGGTGAGGCAGTCCAGGGATGAAGAAATGGCGAAAGGTGCGCATAGAGAGGACAGAGGGACAGACTGTAGCCACGTTCCAAATCCTTTGCTTTCCATTTTATACTTTAGATACTGCAGCTGAGCTCACTAAGTGCATACCGTTGCATCCAGGATGAGTTCCATCGTGCTAACTACTCCTCACAACATGGCACCTTAAACTAGCACCTAGCTTTCTCGCACACATATAATACGGTGAGTGGGCTTTCGAAGGCACTCACACCATGCTCTATCCATAATGAGCTGTGATTGGCCGACATTTTCTGTGAATGGTAGACACAGCAGTAAAAGAACAAAAAGTGCAGGAAGTAGAAGTACTGCGTCCTTCAAGTGCCGTAAAGTAGATGAGACATTCCAGTAATCAAGGATGGAGGATCTTTCTTCTCTTCCTCAGAACACGAGCCGTGGATAGATTACAGTTTTATGTTCAGATGTGCAGATCTCTAAAGCTCTTGTAGTTTGTCCAGCATACACCAAGCCACAGGGACAAGTAAAAAGTAGCACGCAGATAGTGGTCACCTTCCACGTGGTCTGTCAAACACTGTGACATGCAAATTTTGTTTTGGAGGTAAAGTTTGCCTGATCTCGCAGAAAGACATGAAATGACAAGCTCTTAAAAAGACTAAACTAACATGCAGGAAAACAAGGCGAAGAGAAAGCCGGGAGATTGGGGTGGACAGATGTGTCCAATAGAGGACTTTGTTGTGTTCTGTGTAAAGTTGGTACCAGTTTATATTTAAATATACAGTACAATAACACAGGGCACGACATAATCTGTTCTTCTCTAATATCTCATGGGCCCACACTACTTTGACACAGTGCCTCAATTCGAACAGGCAGTTGACAGGCTTTGTTAAACGCTCCGCAGCTCCATCTGTGATTCCCCTCTGCCCCTTACAAAGTGAGGAGGGGGGTGACCAGACAACGAGGTGTCCAACGTCAGCACTGTGTTAGGGAATCACATTCAACAGCAGAAAGTTCTATTTGTGTGTAATAGAGCAAGTACAGAAGAAGGTTCTTTAAAGAACACACACAACAGATGAAGAGGCGTAGTACTCTTACCCGAGCCGAGGTGTCACGGTCCTGGGTAGGTGGTAAGAAAATTGGGTTTGTAGTCGACCAGTCACTCAGATGCAAAGTAATCCACCAAACTCTCTCCGTCTTTCTACATCCACTTGACGTCTCTTCCTCTCTCTTCACTTGCTTACACTTCTTCTCTGCTTCCGCTCTTCCTCTCTGTCACCGTCCACATCTTCCTTTATCTCTTTGTGACTCTGCCTCTCTCTTCAGTTTTGGTATGTGCTTCTCTGAATCCCTTGTCGATGACTTTTTGTCTCCGGAGTAGTTTCTTTCCCCGACATTGAGCGCCACTCAGGAGAGATTGATTTACTCTTGCATTAATCTGGCACTTCCGCTTTGTAGTAAGCATGCATCTGTGGATGTTTTGTTGTGTGAGTGTAATCATACTAACCACCTGCCCCCCTCAGCCAACAGTTTTACCGAGGAAGTAGCTGTGGTTAGAGCAAGAGAAACGGATGGAGAGAGGGCGTTGCGGTGTGTGTTTTTGAGCGCCCTTATATGCGTTAGTGGTTTGGTGTGTGTGCGTGTGTGAGTATCAGAGGGTTGGACAGTGAGTCACCTTAACTTCACAGAGACTCACTGCAGGTCAGACTGTTAGACCGCCGTGAGCAGGATTCCGTGTGTGTGATAAAGCTCCAGCACTGAGATTGTTAGTGATAGTTGAACTGTTGAACTGTCATTATGCTCGATAGTCTGTTGGACATGTCCACTAACGCTCATTCACACACACACACACACACACACACACACACACACACACACACACACACACACACACACACACACACACACACACACACACACACATTCACGCACACATACGCCAATGTCAGCCTTTCAGAGGTAGTATCTGAAGGACTCTTCTACTGGATGAGACATTGATCAAACAAAGAGGTGGATGACAGTTCTTCCTCTCAGCGGGGGTCACCTCTCATGGCCAAGAGAGGAGTCCTGAACAGGATTACCGAGGGTCCGGGGTGGATGGGTCAAGGACTTTCAGGACCCTCACCAAGAAGATGGGTCCAGTGTGAAACCAAAAGTTAAATAACTTGCATCACATGTTTGATATTTTTACTTTTTTAAACCACAAGCTTCCTGGAACTTCCCAAGTAGTCTTATTACCTTGCCAAACTGTTTCCTGTGAACACATACATTTTATATTGAAAGGACAGCGTATGACACTAAAACTTATGCCAGAGGGGAACCTGGTTTGAAGACCCAGCTGGGAGAACGTATCGGCACACAAGTGTGTGAGTGTGATCATGGTTTATCACCTGCTGGTTAAGTATCTGTTATCACCTTTTTGATTGGAGCGCAAAGACACACACACGCCCCAAAGGGGCAACCTGACCCATAGTCCACGCCTCTTTACACCCCGACACCTGCACCGACACACTTCTACCCCTCCCTTACTTTACTACCACCACCTCGACACACCTACCCACACACACATACACATATGAAGGGCAGCTGTTCTCCACCTGGGGAGGTTTAGGTTTCTGTCATGGCAGAACATGGAACGTTAAAGAAACGTTTTCCTCCCTTTTTCCTATACAGTGGATGAAAGGACCTGGTTTGTTGGTGTCACATCTCGTACTGTGAACTCCCTTCTGTCTTTCCGAAGAGAAAAGAGTTGAGGACTGCGTTGGGAACACGGCCGGTGGATGTTCTACTGTAAGTCCTGGGAGAGCTCAGTGGGAGGCTGCTCCCTGCTGACCTGTGACCCCTCCCAGACACAACATGACCTCCAGCTGCAGCTTCCTGGGTCCAGCTGGGGTCAGACAGCGACACAGGGGGCTGAATCAGCTATCATTGTGAGGAAGAGTAATGACAAAGATTATTATTATTTCATTTCCTAGTTGATGATCCTCTGGGGCCGGTATTTCAAAACTTGTAATCCAGATCAGAATGGTCCGGATAACCAAATCCTGTCCTCAGCCACGGATCAACTTGATCTATCCCGGTATTTCAAAACTTTGCCGGGTTGGATCAGAGTGATCCTGATACCGGCAGATTGGGATGTCCAAATCCAAGCAGTGTTT